ATGTCAGGGTTGCACATCCCAATACTTCTTAAGAAATTGATCCTGGGACTTAATCCGTTTTCAATGTCGTAGTGTAGTGTTTGAGAGTGTTTAGTGACCATCTTTACTATACTCTCTCTGGGTGCTCCCAATTCTTTTGTCAGAAAATTGAAAAGAATAGTCCATGTATTGTCCATCCGCTGAAGCAGAATTTGAGGGCTTAACTGCACAAATTTACTCAGAGCATGCTTCTCAATTCCTATCTCCTCAAGAAGGTACTTGACTGTAAGTCATAAAGAATTATCAATACTGTAAGAGAACATGGATGGGGTGGCAGTAATTATTTGCCCTGTTCTCAATTTTGGAATGCCCAAGCTTTCCAAAAAGGCAACATGAGACTTCAGATTGTTTTCGATGGTGTACCCCAAAATTTGAGGCTGTCTCAAAATTTTTTTTTTGATATCTCTATGCTTGACGCTAACACTTAACAAATATACCAATCTTTCCTCTACAGAGTCAACATTTATCTGAAGGGATGGCATATGCCTTGTAGGATCGAATTCCACAGCCAAGCAGTGCAAAATCGGGCTCAGTTTACCAAAAAACATCGACACCATTCTTGAGACAACTCCAATATCACCTTGTACCACCAAGGTCCGGTTGCTATGGATATAGGAAGGAGAAGGCCAAGAAAAATACCCACAATATGTCAACCACAAAGGTCACAGAGAGGGAGGAAGGAACGGCCGAGAGGGAGAGACTCACAAAGAGGGGTTTTCACTCTAAAATGGAGGCCGAGAGATGAGAGGAATATATGCCAAGGGTAGTGTCCAAACAAGGTAAGTTACAATTAGGGCTAAGTGGTGGATCGAGCCTCGACTCAAATAATTGGGCCTCAACAATAATAACATAGCCTTCCAAGGAATGGTGCGGGAACCGTGAGCAACACTATAAAATAGGTTACTTCGAACGGTCCATAACAAAGTGGATTGTGTTGTCTCGTTAATTGTGTCGACGTGCTAATCAATCATTAGGCCGAGGCCGATTGATAATAAACAACCGAGGTTACATCATCGCCCGGGGAGGTCGTTTGACAACAAAATTGCCTAACACAAGGTCTTTCCATCTCTGACTTTAGATCCAACTAGATGTTTCATCTTCTCTTTTAAAAACAAGGCATTATACGTATCTTCAATAGTGAGAATCACGACTATACAATATCGTGTTTCTAAATGAAGTAAATGAAGCGGGCAGTGAACATTAAAGGATTAAAGCTAAGTATTCTTCGTAATACTTTATATCTAAAGTCTTCAAATCAGCGACGATCTCTTTGAATATAGCCAGATGGTCTTCCAAAATCCACTTTCTGCCATATGATGAGAATACAACTTCTGCTTCAGATACAATTTGCTTATCAAACTTTTAGTCATGCACAATTGTGTTAATTTCAACCACAATGCAACTGCTGTTTTCTTATTCAAAACGTCCTGAAAAATATTGTTGAAGAGATGAAGATGGATCTATGAAGTGCCTTCTGACCCTTCCGTCATCCAAGTTGTGGGCATTCTGTTAAATCCCAACAACACATTATCCAAATTCATTTGCGCGAGTACAGCTTACATCTTTACTTGCCATAACGAAAATCTTGTATTGCGATCCAAGAGCGAATTTTCATACTTCATAATTGTCACCAGTAAAAAAAATCTAGAAAAAATCACAACTAACAGCTTTGATATCGCTTGTTGGGAAATAAAAACGGATTGATGTAATATATGATATGATATGAAGTATGTGATCACAAACAAACAACAAAATAAAAGGCAAAAATTTAATTGGTGTATGAATGGAATATGTTATTCAATTAACGAATATGGAGAAAATAAATATAATAACTTTTTTTTGTGCCTGCACAATTATTTTATATTTCAGTGATAAAAAACTTGTGAAAATATTCTATTATTTATAGAGACGAATGCCAAACCCCAAAAATACTACAAAGATGAAAACAAGATAAAAAATAATGTAAAATAAAGGAAACAACATTTTTTTTTCTAATAAAAAAACGCGGAATAAAGGAAAACATTTTTCAATAAAAACGCATGTAATAAAAGAAAAATATTTTTCCCAAAAATCCAATTTAATTTGGATAAAAAAAATCCAACAGTATTTTTCGTAAGTACATTTCAAATTAATAAGCAACAATATAAACATTAAAATTAATATTTCCACAAAAGCCAGGTTTCTTAACACCAACTTTGTGACCCAAAGAGAGGCACCACAGTTAGAGATTGCTCATTCATCTTGAATGAACAGTAAACTTTTTACTTCTTTCCGCATTTTGAGAGAATCTTGATATGCATGAAAGTTCTAATTTTTATATGCTTGCGTACATTACAAAATATTAAATAATATTAAACAATACCAAAAGAAAATAAGTAATTAATTTTTATAAAGAATTGCCCAATATTGTACAAATTACTATCCCAAGCATGATCCTAGAATCTTTTCACATCACCAGTAAAGCATCACTTCACCTAATTCTTATCTGCCCTCACAAGTTTCCTATTTCAAAACATAATTCATGATTCTTTTCTTTCTTAATTTCTAAACTTGTAAAAAAAAAAAAAAAAGTATAATTATTTAATATTTCTACCTTCTTCATCTTCTTATATGCTATCTGAAGAAAATAAAACACAAAAAACCCACAAAACAAGATACCCCAAATGCCACACACAATATATCTAATGTCCTTTCTGTCCTCACTTTTCTTTCTCTTCTTTCTTTCTTCATTTCAAGATACTCTTTGTACATCCTCTGTCCTTCTTCTAATCTGTTTCTCCCTTTTCCCTTTTTGCCCTCCATTGCTCTCTGTAAAATACCCAAACACTCCTTCCCATTTCTGTGCATTCCATCCATGTCCTCAATCGCTAAACTTATTTCTCTCATCTGCATCATCTCCCCTTCCTCGGACACTCCGCACGTGACCACTATTTCACACTGCACGTGACCACGAGCAACGGCTAGGATTGAAGCAAAACACACCTGCACTTCCCCGGTCAACCAGTGGCGCAGTACAGTAACAGGCTTGTGAGATGAGAGGTTCACTGCCAGCCGTCCGATTGGGTCTATCAGAATCCAGCTCAGTGTCATGTCATTGAAAATTACTGTACACGTGTCGTCTCCGTCCGGGAGTTCAATGGGTGTGGGGATCACGTCTTTTGGCTCTAGCAGGTCAATCCTGAAGGGTGAGCACCGGAACCACCCAGTCACGGTTTCAGTTTCTTGGACTTTACTGAAGATTAATTTGTCTTTGTAGTGTATATCAACGGCCGATATCAATTCTGATGGCGGTGGTGCTGATGGTGATGAACGGCTGAGTTTTGAGGAAGAGTGGTCTTCTTCCAAGAGAGGGAAGGCGTGGGCGAAGAAGTTGCGGGGCCCACCACCAGGATACGTGGAGATGACATGGCAGACACGTGGAGACCTGGTGGAAGGCCACGTGGAGTGGCATTTTTTGGACCATAAGTGATCTTGGGAGGAAAGTTGGTGGAGGGTGGTGGAGGAGCAGCTTGTGGCGGCCAGAGTGGGACCGTCCAAACGAGGGAGGATGTGGGCTTCTATGATGTCTGGGTGCAAACTGGAGAAACTGGTGGTGGTACTGTCTTCCTCCTTCGTGGCTGCGGTGGTGGCAGACGTGGGTGCAGTGGTAGCATTCATTTCTTGAGACCGACCTCCCTCTTATCTCAAGCTTTTCAAATGGTGAATGTATATGCTAAATAATTGGGGTTTGGAATTTTGTAATATCAACTTTATATAGTGGTATAATATTTATTGCCAGTACGAAATTACCCTTGGATTATGTACGACCTCGAATTATAACGAAGGGTAGTTTCCTAATGAACTAATTTCTGAACAGTAAAATTTATCTTCCATAAGCAGGATAACAAATGTCAACTGCTAATTTTTATTTTTTTTTAAACTAGTAAAAATATATATATAAAAAAAAAAGGTTAGACCCATTGACTTGGCAACGGAACATCAAAGAGTGGACAAGATAACTTCTGTCGATAGGTGATAGGAGATCAATTCTATTTTGAATAGTATGTACACTTGCACAATTTTAGCCCTTGTTTGTCGACAATTATTTAAAAAAAACTCTTTTTTGTAAATATTCATTTTTAACTACATATTCACACAATAAAATATTCTACTTGTAAACTCAAAACTTGTTTCTATTTTTTAATCAAATATTTTCCTAAAAATAACTATATAAAACATTATTTTGAGCAAATAATGACCATTAAATAGGCGCTTAATGAATGATTGATGAAGAAACTTGAATTTAGAAATTTTACTTGCTTCGATACCACACCAGTGATCAAGTTGAAACTTGCTTTCCAAATTTTGCTATCTACCAAATCAATTATTGACCAATGATTTTTAAATTAACATGTCATCTCAAATTTATCTTTATTAACTTTACAACTAACCCGCGACAATGATGACATGTTAATTTAAAATGACGTGTCAATAATTGATCGAGTGAAATTGAAAGACAGATCTCAACTTCTTGTGAACTATATAAAAGTTTGAACTATTAGATAAGACGTTTTAAATTTTATTTAAATCTTATCTTTGACAATACATACCTTAATGTTTTAATTTATTGATGGGACACATATGGAAACCCTCAATACCGGCTCTTTAACGCTAAGCTAGTATTATAAAATCTAATAATAATTCTTGGTGTACATTATGGACACCATAATGGCGTCCATAATGCACACGTAGGGGGAGCCGGGTGGGCCAGGCGTGACACTAGACCTACACTTGAACTGAGTTTTGTTTGAGTTTATTATTTAATTGCAATTAGGCAATAAGATCACAAATTTGTAGTCTAAAATTGATAAGCACGATTAATTATTTTTAATGTCATTTTCGATCTACGTCACGAAGATAAACAATGCATGCCAAAGTACTTGAATGGGCCTAAAGAAAGGTATTTTGTTCTTCAAGTTATTTGATTGATCACTAGCTAGGACTCGTCTTTTATTCAAATGGTGTGCGTTGAAATTATTAGTTGGGGATAATATTTGCCCTTTAGATTAACGAAAGCTCCATCGAGGAACCCTTTTTTGAAATATTTGCTCTTGTAAAATTGTGTTTTGAGAATGTGTTGAGCGTTTTTTGAAAAATTGATTTCTATTCGCTTTTATTAAAATTAAATTTTATTTCTTTCTCTTTTTACTCTTGTACAACTTGGAACTTTTCTAAAAACTTATATTTGCTTTTAATTAATAGTCCAAAAATGTGGTAATTCTTTTTTTTTTTTAATTCATAATCAATAATAAAGTGAGGTGTATGATAAGAAGAGTCAACGCATGTTAATTTTTTGACCATGTGGCATTTATTGACTAACGAATAAGTTGGACCCATCCAATTATATTATTCGGCTATTTATTTTTGACATTGAAATATGAACCATAATGACCTACATGCATATGAATGCATGGATCCACATTGTTGAGTGATGTAAATTGTGATGTTGATGTATGGTTTATTGGCTTCAAGGGTCTCCTTATGAAATTTTCAAATCAAAGATGGCCTAAATAAATTTGCGAATTATTGAAGAATAAATTTTATAAAAAGTGATATTTTTAAAGAACGTGCGATTAAAAAGTTAAAAAAAAAAGTATTATGAATTTGCATGTAAATTTTTTTTTTTTTTTGAGAAAATATATAGTTAAAAATGAGTTTGAAAAAAAATAAAATTTAAAGAATCTGTTCCATTCATGGACTTACTAAGAAGTACCCAAACCTTAGTGTCGTGATCTCGAGATTTTTTATTGTTACTCCAGTAATCTTATATTTAGCCAATATTTGGCTCCAATTTTTTCAAAAAATTATTTTTTCCAAACTCATTTTCAACCACACATTCCCCTATAAAATAATTTTACACGTAAATTCAAAAAATTTCATTATTTTTTAACCACCACATTCTCCAATAAAATACTATTCAAAAATGTATTTTGCCCAAAAAAATGGAGCTCAAACTAGAACTGATTTTGGAATTTTGTCGTTTCTCTCTCTCTCTCTCTCTTTTTTCCAATGTGAATTTGATAATTAGGTCATAGTTGAAGATCTTATTGATTGCGGGGTTAAATTAATGGAAGAGTCAACCATGTGTATATTTTTATGTAGCCATCGTGCCTAATTCAATATATTAAACTATGTTCAAACTAAAGAGAAACAATAAACAAAGACTCTAAAGCTCTTCTAGAGATGAATGAACAACTCAGCTTTGAAAAAGTCATAAAATAATATGAAATTTAAAGCTTCACGCAAGAATTATTTTATTTGAATTTGTCAACATAATAATATCTTGGAAATCCAGTTAGATGGAATATAATGCCAGTATTTTGTGGGTGGACATCAAGATTATGTCATTAGTCTGCCTAGCAAGTAGAGAAAAATATGATATTTTGGACTGCACTTTTTTTTTTTT